GCACGCACGCACGCACGCACGCACACACAACAAACAAACTGACACATTTAAAAGTTGAACTTGATGGTCAAATTTTTTCAAATACTATGTAACTATGTAACAAGCATAATCTCCAGCAGCTGTCCATCTACTAGCTTGGAGAAGAGAAGAGTGATGAGAGGGGAGCAGGGGAGTGTCTTGCTATGCTGTGCCTGTGTGTTTGTGGAGAGCACAAAGCACACACAAAGGTGGCCCCATAAGACCCTGCAAGGGAAAGGAGCCACCCTTAAACAGAATATCAGGGCCAGTGCTCAGGGGACCAGCTGATTCTGCAGGAAGCTAAAACTTTTAAACATCAAGAAGCAGCATCCATTGTAAGTGATTTCATCAGCATTTGAAATAGCTCAAAATACGTTTTGACTTTTCTTCCAGAGTAGTAAAGGATTAGAAAGTCTGTTTTTAGGACATTTTTCAGTCGGCTTAAAATTGAACTTCAGGCGGATAACAGAGACACACATTAATACAGATCTATATTGATTAATACAGCATTAAAATGTATTTTTCTAAATACAAGCAGTCTATGTACCTGAATTCAATTAATTTAGGCACATTGAAAGTACTTGAATTATCATCCTCGTGCAATTTCCCGTACAGCAAAGCTCAGCAGCACAATGAGCTAATCAGAAGTGCTGTTCTCATGTGCTAAGAAGCGGCATGCTGATAGGAGGGGGGATAAAAATGAGAGCAAGATGAGCACATCAGTCCGCTGCTTCTCCTTTCACTGTCTAGTCACAGGCCGGGGGAGGGACAAGACGGGCTGATCAGGAGAGGATCAGTGCACAGATCCTCTCCTGATCGGAGCAGTATGCGATGAAGGGAAAAAAATGAAATGACAGGACCCCATGTTGGTCTATGGGGAATTGGTCGTCAATGGACATATTTCTATTTACATCAGATTACCCCAAATCCGGCACAATCAGGTCCGTGGAAACGAAACACTGTTCCATTTGTTTTTCCGGACCTGACCAGAGTTGGGGGTAACCGGGTGTAAACGGACGCATGTCCATTTACACACGGCTGACCATAGACTAACATTAGGCATCCGATCGATCCGCTTGAAAAATTGTCAAGTGGAACCGATCGGACCGCCGGAGTGAAAGGGGCCTACGTGTTACTAAATTGAAACAAATTAGGTCTCCTGCTCTGACTAACAGGGTTGCGTTGTGCTGCAGGACTGTTCGAATATCAGTACAGGATGGACAGAAATACAAATCCTTTTGGTAGGTAAAACAGCCCTCGTACATGTATTTCATCTTTGTATTTAGCTTCCGCTTCAATTTCTGTCCTCATTGACGAGATCTTCTTTATCTGTCTGATCTGACATCTGTCTTCTGGACAGGAAGTGAGGGGAAATCTCCCTAACAGGGACATAGACCATACCTCCCAAACGTCCTTCATTGGGAGGGACTTTGTCTTTTTTTGCCAAAACCCCCCTGTCCTTCTTTCCTGCTCAATTGTCCCTTTTTTACTTTATTGTTTAGTCCTAATATTAGTTAAATATTACAATATTACATATTGTAATATTTAACTACCAAAAATGTTACACTACCTTCCATCCAACATCCAAATTGCTGCATTTTTTATTCTGCAAATCCAGTATAAAGAAAAAGCATGGGTTTGGGGGAGGAGGGGGAGCAGGTAGCTATAAAAAAAATTAACATCTAAACCTTTTACAGTATCCAAAACTAAATACAAAAATGTAAACAGTGTTGAGCTCGAAAGCCCAATTCCAGCTAAATTGGGTACAGACAGCAATAAATACTTTGGGTTAGTAAAGGGGAGAGGAATTAAAACTCAGTGGCATCACTAGGGGGGTACAGGGGCTGCAACCCACGCAGAGTGATACCATCAGATGGGGGTGACACCAGAATGGCTGACAATCCTATTGGTGTCACCCCTTCTTAAAACTCGTGCACTTGGTTATGACCTGAAAGCCTGACAATGGCACGAGACAGGACTTTGGAGTTGGGCTTAAAAGTAACCTCTTATTTATTTCTCATCCTATACAAACACTTAAGGACCGCTGTTACCACAGGGAGGCCAATTTGGAAATAATTTAAAGCCCCGTGTACAGGGGGAGCCTAGGATGCAGGAGGCTCCACAGGGGCATTGGGATCAATACAGGTACTTGCAGGCACTTCAAGATCCCTAGCCTTCAAACCCTGAAACCCTGGTAAAAGGCCTGCCAAAGCTCTAGCCTCCGTTCACTTGCCAGTGTTAGGCTCATATCATACTGGAAAACCTGTTGCTGGCAGCATTCCTGCAGAGTTGTGCCAACAAGGGAGCAACGTTGATGACTGCTATTTAGTGATCGTGTTGCTGCTGATTTCCCACCAGTGACACAATTCTTAAAACAAAGTCTCTTCTTTCATGGTCACTATCAACAGGCATAAAGAATGGCCAGACAGACAGGCCCGGATTTCCCACAAGGCCACCAAGGCCCGGCCTCGGGGCGGCAGAGCGCAGAGGGGCGGCAGTGGTGACCTTGTGGGGAAGTTGCGGGCGCCGGTGTCAATTGATGGGGAGGGGGGTTGGCGGCGGGGGGGGCGTATTGTGGAACCTAGCCTTGGGGCGGCAGGGGGAGTAAATCCGGCCCTGCAGACAGAGCCATTGACAGCTGCCATATAACTTCCCTCCCGTCACTGCAGAATTTGAGAAGCTGGACCAATTCTAGGGATGAAGTAGATGAGTAGATAATAACTTTTAACAGGATGTTAAATGTCTGGGTGGAAGAGGGTGTATAGAAGGGATGGGGGTGGAAGTCAGAAAAAATAAAAGATGTAGTTACGAGTGACCTGAATCTGTGCTTATGGTAAAAACATTTAGGTATTTACATATTCTTAGCAAGCAGTAAATGAGCTTAAAAAACAAACCAGCACAGACCTGCAGTAGCTGCAGCTACTAAGGAGCAATTCATCCTTAAATTTCAAAGCAGAACACTGAAGTTGTTCAAGTTATTCCATCAGCAGCTCGACTCACCTTGCTTCCCCCTTCCAGAGCTCCTACTCTGTGATTATGTTGAACATTTGAAGGATGCCAAATGACTGCAGGAAGGGGGGAGCAGAGGGAGCTGAGTCAATATTGGGAGGGGGAAGCAGGGTGAGGTGAGCTGTTGAGCCCCTGCTGGAATGGGGAGCCGAGTGAACTGAACTGCTTAGTCACTGCTGGGAAAGGTCAGCAGGATGAGCCGAGCAACTCTGTCAGTCACTGCTGGGATGAAGGAGGTCTGAGCTTCTGAGAAAACAACCTGAAGGACTTTTTTTTAGCAATTTCCCTTTAAGTCATTCTCATCAGCCATGAATAAAAGAGAGAAAAAAATAGCTGTGTACAGAAGACTGACACAACCATCTGTTTGCAGGCCCTTTAAACCCCTCCGACGTGCTAAACTCCTGTTCGGTATAATCATATCTGCCGGAGGAATCCGCGGTTTGCGGGCAATGGAGACAGTTTCATCATTATTGCTGCCTCGGCTGCTCATGTAATTATTCTGAGAGGAGATGAGTTTGTGTAAAGGTGATTTGAAGGGTGCCAGAGGGCCGCGGTGAACGAAACGCGCTGCCCATGGAACCTCATTAGCATGGATCTTATTGTGGAAGTGTCTGTGTTGTATTGTTTTTCTTCTTTTTTTTCTGCCTCTAGCGTGAGCATTCAGCTGACAAAACTGCCAGGAGTTTGGCTGGGTAGTCTGGCCACGACTAGGGATGAGGTATGGATTCAGAGTAAATACTGCAGGTTTGAGATTTGCTTGTTCTGGTCAATTTATGAGGAGATTCGCCAAGGAGAATTTTTTTTAAACCATAATATACTGCATGGGCTATGAACTATGGCCAACAAGCAAAGAAGGACTTTTGGATAAGGAGAGATTAGGGTCAGTTAGGGAACTGTACTTTAATTCTGATTGCTGGCTCTTTGGGCAATTGAGCCCTTTGCTGTTTTTTTATTATTTATTGGGTGCTTTTTTGTCTCTATTTTATAAGATTTTAGTACATATTATTTTGGCTGCAAGGCTTACCCTTAAAGAAAATAGGCCTTTGTTTGTTTTTGTTTTTTTGGGGAAAGGGGGGAGGGTACTGTGCAGTTTTATTTATTTTTATGGTATATTGTTTGATATTTTATGTTGATGCATTTATTGTAGCTTAAACTACCTTTTTTTGTGGTTTTCATGTATTTTGTTTATTTTTATTTTATGTCGATAGGGTATTTTTTTAAACTTGGGGTGCTCAGACTGTAGCATGGTTACTAACCAGATGTTCTTTGAGCTGCACGCTGCTAAATGCAACTAAATGGAAGAACAGTGTCCATTTAAACCACCTTACATTATATCACTGACATTCAGTGCACCACCCCCATCATAGATAAAATAAAAGTTAGCCATATACCAGTTAGGCCTATTATCCCTGATTAAAACTGTCCTTCTGCTGGATGATTTTACACTGCTGTATCTTCTGCAGTATTGCAATTCTTTTAGTACAATCCAAGTCTGTGTGCTTTGACTTTAGTAAATTTAGGCCTAGCCTTGCTCATTAAAATTGTCCTGCTGCTGGGCACTTTTACACTGCTGTGTCATCTGCGTTTGGTGTAATAAAGCATCTGCCTGTACTCTTTTTCTGTAGTATGTTTTGGACTATTACCCTTTACTAACATTGTCCTATTGCTGTGTTGATGAATGCAGGAATGTTGTGTTGATGAATGCAGGAATGTAAATGCATGAGCTAACCATTTTTGTCTAAACTGTGAAGCAGCATTATATATGCATCATGTGCATGATTTTTCCATGTATGGCATTAGTGGAAATATGCTTTTAGAGACTTTTTGGTTGATAAATAATTTTTGCTGTGTGAAAATCACGCCCCAGGTGCGTGTGTTTAGGTTAGTAAATCACCCCCTATCTCACTTCAAGTTGTGACTATAGGACAGGAGGTAAAGGAAATCTCAAACTCAGGTGCAAAAATTAATGAATGAATTAACAAACTTAGTGTGGTTTTAACTATTCCCTAATTTTAAAAAAATATTACAAGAACAGAATATAGCTGTTGATCTACCAGAAATCCAGGGGGCTCCTAACTTCTTATTTTGGGCTGAAAACACAGTGCCTCTGCTGATCAGAAATCCTAACCAGCCTGGTCAACCTTGCCTGCTGGTTACAGAATTCTGTCTGTCCCTGCCCTTTCACATGTATACATATATTTCTTTACCAGGCCCACACTGTGTGTAGGTAAAGTGCTCTTGGGAGATGTAGTTCTGGGGGTGTGTTGGCCTTGGGGCGGCAGGGGGAGTAAATCCGGCCCTGGGTGTGCCTACATCAACAAGAACTGGCCTTCCTGCAGCTGCCTCTGCAAGGATCCAAAACACTTAAAAGATTGCACTGCTCCTCCACAGCACACAAGCTGGGGAAATTCAGGTGCTTACCGGCTGGAGCTCGTCCCCACTCCGTTAGCTGCCATCAAAACAATAAAACATCCGTCCGCACTCCATATGTCGCTAGAAACCTCGTTTATTAAAAATCCCACAGCTACACAAATTCATATTTAAAGTTCACAGCAGAAGCACTGACGTCATCAAACCAACCATCAATCAGCGGCTCAGCCCCCTTTTCCTCCCCTTCCCAACAATAGCTCAGCAGCTTATCTTCCGCTTCTTCTCCTTCCCATGAGTGATTTAGCAGCTCAGTTCCCTATGTTCCCCTCCAAGTGGTGCCTTTAATTCTTCTGCTGTAAACTTTGATGATGAATTGTTCCACGATGCCTGCAGCTACAGAAGTCAGTGAGGGCTTAGTTTAAAGCCCAGTTCTAACTTGGGCAAGATATAAATGATAGGATCTCCCACAGATCCTAAAAAATAAAAAACAGCTCCGACTAACACTAAACAAATTGCCAGTGCTGTTCCCCGTAGATTATCCACTACACCTCTTCCTGGTTAAATGAGGCTCAGCATAATTTAATCCACTTCCATTGCTATGTACTTTGCAGCACTCCATTGTAAGTCCAGAGAGCACCACCACATGGCACCATTAAGGATCTGCTGTTAGAAAGACATCTGGAAACAAGCATGCATATAGATTTTTTATAAAGTGGGTGTGCTCCAAGGGGGACCCAAGCCTGAATAGGTCTTTAAAGCTCATTCAAAGCTCAGTACAGAGACTCTGCCAACTGCCCATCCATTTCAACAAAAATCTTCCCATAAGGTTTTTTAGTGCATTTAACCTATTTTATGCATATTTACCTGTATAAACCTCCCTGTCGAAGATGTCTGCAGTCCCAGCAGAGTCAGAGCTGTATAAAGCAGTAGATAAAATGTGGGGATAAATGCGTGTGTGGTGGCAGGGGTGCTGTTTTTGCTACAAGAGCATGGCTTAAGCAAAATGGGTACATTTTGGTGAGATATTGCAGGGAACAGCTGCAAAATGGACAGCTCTGCTTGCAGCCCCAACATGCTGTGGGTGCTCTGAGTATTTTAACGGGGCAAAACAAAAACCTTTCTTGGCAAGATGACATTATCTGGGAAGCAACCCCCCAACGAATCTGATTCTCTGCACTATGAACCTCTGCAGCCTTTATTTACTTTTGCTGCAACCCCTTACACAATTCCAGCAGATTAGGATAATCCAACTGGCCCTGTGTCTTTCCATATGAGCCAAAAATGCTGGCTCTACAGTAAATGCATTTGATGGAACACTGCACATGCACCTCCAGACAACTTGTCTTAATTCTGCTGTAGTTAGGAAGCTCCAGAATTGTGGAGAGGGTCATTGTGGAGAAGATACATTGGATGAGAAAACTGTGGAGTAGATCAGCATGCATGTTTGTAATCAACGTGTTGAGTACCACACACTCATCCATCAAGTATGGATGATACTTCCTCTTTCTGTCTTTATGGCAGCCTTATGGGGGATTGAGTGGCAGATGATGGAGCAATCTTTAGTGAAGGTGTTATATAAAATCAGGTCAGCTTCACGATTGGATGACCTGTTTGACAATTTACCTCTGCTTGTTGCTCACCCCTAGGGGGTTGCTAAGAAGTGTCATATGTCTAAAATACTATATATTGCAAGACTTCTACAGCTCAGGGGAAATCTGTTCAGTGTCATAACAAAGGTAGAAAGGGGGATTCATATATCTCCCATAAGGCATAGTTTTACAGTCCCAAGGAGGCAGACCTTGTCAAAGGAGATGTGGTTTCTCCCGAATATATTTGATTGGATTGGCTTTGGGTGGACTACTTAATCATCCATCAAGTTTATGATCATGCTGCTCAATTTGTAAACCCTACTGAAGTCTTTTGAGGGTTTAGGTGATGGATGAAGGAGCTCTACTCAGTGTGGGAAGACACTGGCCAGGTCCATCGACAGATAACTACTAATTCTCTCTGCTTTTTACTCACCTCTACCAGAAAACCAATAAAGTATTATGGGTCTAACAGACTTGATAACATGAGGCTCATACGACTTCAGGAAAGGCTTTTCAGTGTTGTAGGATGGGTGTAAAAAATAGGTCATATACCTTCATCATGACAAGATTTTGTAATGGCGTTACACCCAGGAGGCAGAGATTGCCAAGTCAATGTGTCTATTGTAACAATTACTTATTTTGTCACCCATATATTGTCACACTTGTTCCCCTCATGTTGTCACAATTGCCTGTTTGTTGCCCACATGTTGTAACGGCCGCCGCCGTCACCTGCGGGCAGGGGAGGAGGAAGCGGCAGCCAGCCGCTCATTCGCTGGGCCGATTGCGTTCCAGGGTGGAGCGCACGCTCCTCACTTCCGGGTTTCGGGACCGCGTGCGTTCCACCGTGGAACGCGGAAGTGCGCCGAGAGCTTGCTCGGCTCCTCCTAGTAAACGGAGGCCTATTTAAACGGCCAGGTGAGACAGCATGGCGTTCCTGAATTGAGCAGAAACGCCTGCTGTCTCCTGGGACCCTCCACTTGCCTCCAAATCGTGCCCTCCAACATTGACCGGATCCGGACCCCTCCGAGGAACCCCTGCTTCTCCCATTGAGCCAGCTTTTTCACAAAACCGCAAGTACTGAGTGCTGTTGCACCCTCTTGTCATTCTGGACTGTTTAAGTATCGCCTGCATAGGCTTAAGCTGCTAAGGGGGATTTATACTTGCTTCAGATGCACATATCTGTGGACTCCTGCAGTCATACTGCCCGATTATCATTTACCACCTCTCCTCAACCCTAGTTTGCGTAGTTGAACCTTTTCCGTTACCTTATTATTTAACCTGAGGCTGTGATGCGAGGAACCCTAACTCTCTGTTAAAACTGAGAGAGTGAAACCAGGGTTCCATACCTGAGAAGCCTCCGCAGCTGCGATCCACACTACTTCAGTCCATTCAGGCGTTACACATGTTGCAATGATTGCCCATTTGTTGCCTGTGTAATGTAAAAATTGACCATTGCCCGAAATTAGCATACAGTATAAGTCAACTGCTCTCCCCCATGAAGTGGCAGGATTTATTTATTTTTTAATTTTTGGCTTACATATTATCAAATCGATGCCTGTCACTATTAAACCACTCAACTATTATCCCCATGTTTCCCCACTGTTAAAATATATGTACAGTCATACCTTTTTTAGTTTGGATTTGGAGGGTTAAAACCCCTATTGCGTTATTTTTTGCTGTCCATGTCCCTCTGTAGATTCCCTTTCACTCTCTGTCCTAGAGACGGTACACGTAATAAGAGGAGTTCTCCAAAAAGTGAGACAAATTCCAAGCTTAGCTGTCACCGCTGAACATTTGTCACCATTTGATGATTCTCCCTCACATTTTGTTCTGGTAACAAGTCTATAATTTAGAACAGCAGTGGCGAACCTATGGCACGCGTGCCACAGAGGGCACGCAGAGGCCCCTCTGGTGGCACGCAAGCCTAGGTCCCGAATACAGTGACCCGCACACTCCAGGTGCAGGTCACTGTAAAGTCATGTTAAATTTTAAAAGATGGCTGCTGCGAATCGCGGCGGCCATCTTTAAACCTGGCAGGTGCCCAGATTCTATTTAATATATTGCCGAACCAGCAATATAATAAATTAGGGGTAGATCGCGGTATCCTGTCCTCCTGACGTGGGGCTTCTCTGGATCCCTGCTGCTCTCCCCCACCTGTATGCAGCGGGGATCCGAGAAGTGAACAAGGCACTGCATCAGCAGCTTGTGTGTTTTATTGAGTGTATAAATGTTTGAATATGTGTGTTTCCCTATTTTGCCTAAGGCAGTAATGTTGAATGTTTTTTTGAAAGCCCAGCGCCCAAACTGCAATACAATACTATACTTACTTTCAGCGCTGGCACTTGAGATAAATAAATTGATTTTGCGTCGCAGTTTGGGCACTCGGGTTCAAAAACGTTCGCCATCACTGATTTAGAATATAGAATTGCTTTCTACAGTATCTCAGTGACAATAGTAACCACTATAACTAAAGAAGGTACACATAGACAGCCATAAAAAATATAACATAGGATCTAACCTTTTCTTACTCTATCCAAAACAAAACAAAAAGTTTTGCCTTTACATAAACTTTAAACCTTTAAATGTTTGTTTGTTTTTTAACTTACGGTTATAAACTTTTTTCTTTTTATTTTCCTATTTTTATTGGTTTAGTTTCACCATAATTAACTAAATAAACTTTGCCATATAGAAGGGGGGAGTTCAAAAATTAACCGCACTGGGTGTCAAATATTGGCCGTTCACTGCTGGCTACAAAAGCATGAAGAATTTGGTAACTTCTTCCCAAGTAAATGTGAATCTAAACGGCAAACAGATTGCTGAACTTGGCTCTTGTATGTAAGTTGGAAAAATTAGTTTATTTATTTATGTATTTATTTGGTTTTCACAATCATTTTCAAAAAGTAATTTTTCAAGTTCCCTCCAGAGAGTACAAAGTAAGGAGAGAAATTGGCCATGTCGTCAAATTGCAAGTGTATTAGTGGAGTCAGTTTTTTTTTCTGTCTTTTGAAGTCTGTTCACACCAGTAGCTGCCAACACTTACCACTGTGTTGTGTAGTTAAGATGAATAAAGCTCACCCGGCTACATGGCTCTAGTCAACAGCAAGACCCCTGCGATGAGCCAACTCATGCCACTTCCCTTCAATAAAATTAATGTGGTGCCGCAACCTTTGCCACCTTCAAAGTGGAAGTAGAGTGCCAACCAACTGTGATATGGTCTGTTGCTGCATGTACTACATTTTAGTAGTCATTTTCACTGGAAGAAATCCTGAAGAATTTACAAACTTGGGGTTTCTTTTAACTCCAGGCAGATATAAACGACAAAAATGAATGCAGCTTTGTATTCGTTAATACATCATTTAATGTTTGTTTTAAATGCAAGCAGTGTAAGTACCTTAACTTCAGCCTCCTATGCCTCCTGTACTGAAGAGCTTAGAGAAGGGGAGGGAGAAGCAGCAAACCAATCAGGTGTGTTGCAGTGCAAGAAGCAAACTGATTGGAGGAGATGGAAGAGTGTCAGGAAGCTGTAAGTCTATAGGTTCTTCTTTTACTGTCCAGTCACAGGATGAGAGGAGACCTGTAAGTGGAAGTAAAACTGCAAGAGAGAAAAGCAGAACCTTGTACTCTCCATCCAGTACATTTCAGCAGAGCCTTGTACTCTCCATCCAGTACATTTCAGCAGAGCCGTGTACTCTCCATACAGTGCATTTCAGCAGAGCCTTGTCCTCTCCATCCAGTACATTTCAGCAGAGCCGTGTACTCTCCATACAGTGCATTTCAGCAGAGCCTTGTCCTCTCCATCCAGTACATTTCAGCAGAGCCGTGTACTCTCCATACAGTGCATTTCAGCAGAGCCTTGTCCTCTCCATCCAGTACATTTCAGCAGAGCCGTGTACTCTCCATACAGTGCATTTCAGCAGAGCCTTGTCCTCTCCATCCAGTACATTTCAGCAGAGCCGTGTACTCTCCATACAGTGCATTTCAGCAGAGCCTTGTCCTCTCCATCCAGTACATTTCAGCAGAGCCGTGTACTCTCCATACAGTGCATTTCAGCAGAGCCTTGTCCTCTCCATCCAGTACATTTCAGCAGAGCCGTGTACTCTCCATACAGTGCATTTCAGCAGAGCCTTGTCCTCTCCATCCAGTACATTTCAGCAGAGCCGTGTACTCTCCATACAGTGCATTTCAGCAGAGCCTTGTCCTCTCCATCCAGTACATTTCAGCAGAGCCGTGTACTCTCCATACAGTGCATTTCAGCAGAGCCTTGTCCTCTCCATCCAGTACATTTCAGCAGAGCCGTGTACTCTCCATACAGTGCATTTCAGCAGAGCCTTGTCCTCTCCATCCAGTACATTTCAGCAGAGCCGTGTACTCTCCATACAGTGCATTTCAGCAGAGCCTTGTCCTCTCCATCCAGTACATTTCAGCAGAGCCGTGTACTCTCCATACAGTGCATTTCAGCAGAGCCTTGTCCTCTCCATCCAGTACATTTCAGCAGAGCCGTGTACTCTCCATACAGTGCATTTCAGCAGAGCCTTGTCCTCTCCATCCAGTACATTTCAGCAGAGCCGTGTACTCTCCATACAGTGCATTTCAGCAGAGCCTTGTCCTCTCCATCCAGTACATTTCAGCAGAGCCGTGTACTCTCCATACAGTGCATTTCAGCAGAGCCTTGTCCTCTCCATCCAGTACATTTCAGCAGAGCCGTGTACTCTCCATACAGTGCATTTCAGCAGAGCCTTGTCCTCTCCATCCAGTACATTTCAGCAGAGCCGTGTACTCTCCATACAGTGCATTTCAGCAGAGCCTTGTCCTCTCCATCCAGTACATTTCAGCAGAGCCGTGTACTCTCCATACAGTGCATTTCAGCAGAGCCTTGTCCTCTCCATCCAGTACATTTCAGCAGAGCCGTGTACTCTCCATACAGTGCATTTCAGCAGAGCCTTGTCCTCTCCATCCAGTACATTTCAGCAGAGCCGTGTACTCTCCATACAGTGCATTTCAGCAGAGCCTTGTCCTCTCCATCCAGTACATTTCAGCAGAGCCGTGTACTCTCCATACAGTGCATTTCAGCAGAGCCTTGTCCTCTCCATCCAGTACATTTCAGCAGAGCCGTGTACTCTCCATACAGTGCATTTCAGCAGAGCCTTGTACTCTCCATCCAGTACATTTCAGCAGAGGCTTGTACTCTCCATCCAGTACATTTCAGCAGAGCCTTGTACTCTCCATCCAGTACATTTCAGCAGAGCCGTGTACTCTCCATACAGTGCATTTCAGCAGAGCCTTGTACTCTCCATACAGTACATTTCAGCAGAGCCTTGTACTCTCCATATAGTACATTTCAGCAGAACCTTGTACTCTCCATACAGTACATTTCAGCAGAACCTTGTACTCTCCATACAGTATATTTCAGGACTCGATGGAGAGAAATACAAATTCTTTTGACCGGTAAAACAACTCCTATTATATATATTATATAGGCATTTTCTGTTTACCTGAGTTCAGCTTTAAAGTAAAACTGTCACAAACCTGGACAATTTAGTCTGAGCATATGCTGAAAAATGCACAATGGCCCATTAACACATGTCTTCCATTAAGAAGCATACCTCATTGTGGAATGGTGCTGCTAACCTGAGCATTTCTGTTCATGCAGAGTCTTGTGACAGTCACACGGGCAAGGACCACTTCTGGAAAAAAAAAGCAAATGGAGATTGGTGGAGTAGGAGAATGCAAATGTGAATGAAAAATGTACAAGACAACCTAGACAGGAGCCTAAGGCCCATGAACGTCCAAACCTTGTTAATTTCACTTAAAGGGATGGGGGTCAAAGCAGTTATCTTGCCTAGGGCCTTCAGCCTCAATCTCTGGGTGTATTACTTTTCCTTTTTTTATCTCACTGGTCCTGACAGACAGATCTTAAGCTTGGTGGCACTGGTCTAGCCAAAAGTGCTGCCTACAACTATCCAAATATCTTCATAAGGGAGATTGAAGAATAAGTTGAGTAGGTCCTGGAAATGTTTGGACTTTGAGGCATAGTTTTAAAAGACTGAAAACATGCAGCACATCTATTGGACCCAGTTTTATGCCTTCAGCACTCAATCCAATGCTGAAAAGTACTGGCCTGGACAACTTCCAAAATCTGTTGCCTGGTCCAGTATCTACTGTTCAACCAGTCTGATATCTTTTGCAGACAGAACAGGGTGTAAGTTACCTGGACCTGGTAGTTGATTAGACAGGAACTTATAAGCTTGTTTTATAGAACTGGGGCACAGAGCTAATCAGAGTTACAAACACCCCCCTATGCCAACCCAATAGTTTATCCTTGATGCAAGGTACACCAAAATGTCAGTTGTCATTCAAATCTGAAAACTCCTATAAAGGTCCTAAGACCGCTTTCAATAATGAATGGTGTGAAACGAAGTGAACTGTCAGCATTTCAAACCTACTTTCTCTGTCATACAAATTGTAGATTTGATTATATTTTAAAGTCTAATAACAAAAACTTTTTTTTTATTGATGTCTGGGTCTTCATTCAGAAATTGTACCATCACTTTCTGATGTGTATGACACCTGTCAAATGGTCAGAAACGTAGTCGCATTTATCCAGTGGGCATTTGGACATCAATAAAAACTAAACAGAGGTTCTAATTCTTTCCCACTATATTAATTTGTTGCCGGTATTATCTCTATGTTTTAAAACCTCACTCATGATATATTACTGTTCTTCATGTCACCTATGTGCTTTCAGTTCATATTCTGTGTATAATGTTTTCTCTGTTCTTTTTCATAGGTGTAAATGTTATCTAGGATATAAACATCTACAGGTTGACCTAAGGCGCAACCATGAATAACACCAGCTTTGCCAACGTGTCCGCAGCCAACAAGACCATGATGGGGAGCCCTTACAAAACAGTGGAGGTGGTATTCATTGTCATTGTGGCTGGTTCACTGAGCCTGGTAACCGTTATTGGAAACATCCTGGTCATGGTCTCTATAAAGGTCAATCGCCACCTCCAGACAATCAACAACTACTTCCTGTTCAGCTTAGCATGTGCTGATTTAATTATCGGGGTCTTTTCCATGAACCTCTACACTTTGTACACTGTGATAGGTTACTGGCCAATAGGGCCAGTGGTTTGTGATCTCTGGTTGGCTCTGGACTATGTTGTCAGCAATGCCTCAGTGATGAACCTCCTCATCATCAGCTTTGACAGGTACTTCTGCGTCACAAAACCGTTAACATATCCAGTGAGGCGAACCACCAAAATGGCTGGGATGATGATTGCTGCAGCTTGGGTGCTGTCCTTTATCCTTTGGGCCCCTGCTATACTCTTCTGGCAATTCATTGTCGGTGGAAGAACTGTCCCAGATGGAGAGTGTTATATCCAGTTCTTCTCAAATGCCGCAGTTACATTTGGCACCGCCATTGCAGCATTTTATTTGCCAGTGATCATTATGACTATATTGTACTGGCAGATATCCCGGGCCAGCAAGAGTAGGATAAAAAAGGACAAAAAGGAACCGACCACCAATCAAGATCCCATTTCGCCCAGCAATGTTCAAGGGAAAATAGTGAAACCAAACAATAACAATCTTTCAGCCATGGAAGATGGCCTGAATAACAGCAAAATCCAGAATGGAAAAGCCTCTAGAAATTCTGTAACAGAAAATTGTGTCCCGGCGGAAGGAGAGGAAAAAGAGATCTCCAACGACTCCACTTCTGTAAGCGTAGTAGGTTCAAATGCAAAAGAAGATGGGCCTTCCAAAGATATTCCTCAAGCTTCAGGATCTCAACCCCTTCCAAAAGTTGAAAACTCCAAGATGACCTGTATACGAATAGTTACAAAATCAGAAAAAGGTGACTGTGGATCTACAAGTGGTACCACGGTGGAAATCGTCCCAGGATCCAATGGTCGGAACGGAGAAGACAAGCAAAAAGTTGTGGCCCGAAAAATAGTAAAGATGACAAAGCAACCACCCAAAAAGAAAATTCCACCATCTAGGGAAAAGAAAGTGACAAGGACTATCTTGGCTATACTCCTAGCTTTCATTATAACCTGGACACCTTACAATGTAATGGTTCTAATCAACACTTTTTGTGATGTCTGTATACCTAACACGGTGTGGACAATTGGCTATTGGCTTTGCTATATCAACAGTACGATCAATCCTGCTTGCTACGCACTCTGCAATACTACTTTTAAGAAGACTTTCAAGCACCTACTAATGTGTCAGTACAAAAATATAGGTTCGGCAAGGTAAAAGAAGACAAGACATGGGGCAGAACTGCCAATAAAATACTACGCCATAGCACTTTACAATCGATTATGGAATGTGCAATCTAGGAACCTTATTCTGACACAGACCTGTGGAACCTTTCCACCCTCTGCACTTATAACTATAAAATATATAAACAAGGAATTGAAAGCTCTCTTGGATAGAGTAAGATATATGTAGACAGACTTGCCCGCTGCTCTTCGACCTAAAAAAATAAATAAAAAAAAGATAGACAAAAACAAAAACTTCAAAGGGCTTTTTAAGGTCCACTTATTTTCAATGTCTGTAAAATGACCATACATATTTTTACGTGTTTCGATGTCTACAGGACACATATTCTATTGACTCAAAGTTCAGAATATCAACTTATTAGATGGAACAAATGAAAAATTACTTTATAAGGCTTTTGTTTTCAGCGATAGACAAAAAAAAAATCCACTCACCTTATGACTTTTTTTGTGATATGTTCGTCCGAGACATCGGGAATACTGACAAACCTCAATTTTTTCACAATTTTCACCTTTATCCTAATGTTAAATGATGGCTCTTCTGTGCCTCCGTGTTTCTAGTGACTGTATCAAAATATAATTCAATTGTAGCCCTTGTGATAAGAAGGGTTATATTAGAGCTTCCTTGAAAATAACTAGCCAAGCAAATAATACATATATATAAGTGTTTTTTTGTACAATGGCACAGAAAGGCAGACTTCAGCTCTTTAGCTGTGGCAGAACTTCATTTTTTCATCAGATTTAGTCTAGTATTCTGAGCATCTTGGGAGATGAAATTTGGTGACAGCTAGCATGCAGAAGGTGTAGTGTCCATTCATCTTTGAAAGTTGGTACTATGTTGATACTTTCAAGTGTGATATACTGTACCCTGTCTTCATCCATACTTAATGAAATTACCAACAACTGGTTATTTTTGTTATGTTATATTACACATGTAGCTCTACATGGCAAGTTCTAAGCTGGCAAAAATTGTTTCAATTAAGGAAACTAGAAAGATTGCTGGGCAGCTGCTGTCCAGCCAAGCATAGGAAAATACGTGAAAGGGTAAAGCAGTGCATTATTTTGCTTTATAGATACAGATACACCTCTTTGCCATGATTGTATTACTTGACCTATTGCATCTTATCACCAGGTAAGTGTTGTTTACCTTTTAACTTTCTGCTCAAGCCTTGATTGGAAGGAAAAATATTCAGGAAAGAAGTGCATTATCCCTTCTGAGGGAAGTGAAAGTGCAGACATCTACACGATGCCTGCTTATACAATGGAGAAGCCATTTTGTGGGCTATAAAATAGACTACGATATACTAAAAACAAGTGATATAACCAAGAAGCATTGCCTAGAGTGTACATTGGCTTCATTCATTTGGGAGCTGATGTGATTTTGGGCATAGTGTGCTGACATCACCACACAGAATTACTGAAGGACGTCTTCCAGGGATAATCAGAAGCATCCACAAGCACATGAGTGACATGGACGGGCCCCACTTGTGTGGCACCTTAATCCCAAACAGGCTTTCAGGCCCAGATGCACATTTGCACCATTTCCGCTATGCCTGGGGGGTAAAGACTAGTAATGAAAGAAATTAAATTTTCATGCCCTGGAATTTTCAGCAAAAAATATGGAAAGGTGAAATTAAGTTGGTTTTTAAGGGTGCAATGGGCTTAAATTGCGCCAGAGAAACTCCCTTCAACTATCCTGAACTAATTATTGTGCCGAAAAACAGCTCTAAACTATTTTGCTGACAGCAATATCTTACATTTTGCAGTGAAATTTTGTCAAAATGATTATGCTCACCCTCTAAAGACAGATCTGTACTGAACTGAACTTTCATTTTAAATTGTACTTTGAACTTTCTGCCTAGTGTATAACTGGGCAGATGACGTTCCTTGGCACTAGTTCCCCTAGATCAGTGGTTCTCAACCTGTCTAGGGATGGGACCCCTTGGTAGATTTGCCAAGTTGTGGTGACCCCCAACGGTAAAATTTAGGAATGACGCGGCTGCTGCAGCGACATCTGGCGGGAGAACTGACACTGCTGCTCTAGGTGAGGGCTGAGGAGGACTCTCACCTAGCACAGCAGAAATCACACAGCGACCCACAGGTTCAGAACCACTGGCGTACGCCGTCAGAATAAAAAAACAAAACAAAAACACCCTAGGAATGCATAGCTAGATTCCTATTGGCTATTTCACTTTGCAATAGCCAATAGCAAACTAGCTATTGCACCCGCCCTCTGCTGCTGTCAATCAGTAGTGGGGACCTGATGGAGAACTTCAGGTCCCTCTCTGCTGATTGGCAGCAGCAGAGGGCGGGTGCAATAGCTAGTTTGCTATTGGCTATTGCGAAGTGAAATAGCCAATAGGAATCTAGCTATGCATTCCTAGGGTAGTTTTTTTTTTCTGACTTACGGCAGCCTACGGCCCCCAATGTCAGGCAAAAAAGGTTTACTCTGCTCGGGAGAAAGTGTTTCTCTCCCAGGCGGCCGGGAGCCGCTATCTAATAGCAGGAGACTCCCGGGCGACCCCTGGCAAATCGTCATTCGACCCCCGAAGGGGTCCCGACCCACAGGTTGAGAACCGCTGCCCTAGATGGTGCTGACAAGTATAGGAAATTCCTATACTCATCAGTGCCATCTAAGAGCTCTAGTGTCATGCAAACAGCATCCATTCAACTATATGGCAGGTGATCCATTTATAAATGAACCCCTAGGGCTTTTAGGTTAAACAAAAAGGTGTGTATAGGCTGTGTGCAAGAAAATCCTCTTACTCTTTTTTTATGTTTTTTTTGAATGACAGTAATGAGGTTATGTACCAAAACACCCACATTCAGAGGGGAAAACAAGGAGAACAGAGGAAGTGCTGGCAACCTTTCTCTTTTTTACTTGTTATATAATGAAGGGCCACAGGTCCATTTTAATAAGCCTCCAGTGTCTACTAACTAAAATGTGTTTTATCAGTAACATATGCAAAGAATAGCAAATGCCTACAGCCACCATTGTATTTACAAGTAATATAGCCCAGCTAGGTGTACCATTGATGTAGCAAGTGTTATTTCAAACAAAAGTGTTGTTCTGCCTGATAAAGTCTCCATCATGTGTATTGCCACATGATCACAGGCCTGTGGTGGTGCCATCATTTCCAGATTTCTGGCAGTGTTTATATGTATTGCTACCCCTTTGGTACCCCCTCCTTTAAATGATTACTTGTGTTATCTAAAATATGCTATTACAAAAAAATTGTAGCTTTAATGTGATTGGTTACTAAGTATAGCAAAACATTTAGGGTTAGAGGCCTGCGCTGCTAAGTGAAACCCTTTATGTTTTCCCAATCAGCACAATTGAGGGAATTAATGATATTAATTTGTGTTAAACAATATCCAATGTTTTCTCCTGCATTCAGTTACGTTTTTGCTTTCATTTCCAGTAGAGGATTTAAAATTTAATGCAAAAATGCACATCTACTGTATTAAAAAAAAAAATGTTTAGTAAAACTCCACAGTAAATACACACTTCCCCGTGTTTTATACCTTTAGAAACACTGCGATTTCGGAAAAATACTTGTTGATCCAATGAGCTCCTGTGCATTCTGCCTCTTCTGTACTAAGATTGCATGCAGGGTTATCAGTCCTACTAGTGTTCCTTCCCGGGTTATCAGTCCTACTAGTGTTCCTTCCTGCCGGACAACAGCACCCTTTTGTTATTGAGATGAGGAGAGGGGAAGGTATTCTGTAGTCCATCACAAAAGAACTAGAAGGGGCTAACAATACTGCTTGGAATTTTAGTGCAGCAGAAGTAAGAAGCTGACGGGGTTCCTGGCAGCCTAATAGTCCTTTACTTGCAGTGTTTTTAAAAATATTCAGTGGGGAAATGTGCATGTATTGCAGAGCTGTACTATGTATGTTTTTGTTTATTACTTTGCCCTTATATACTTATAGTAATTGAGAAATTCATCACCCTGCAGTCAGTTCATAAGTTACACTGGGCTTATGTTTCCACCTGATGATATTTAGCCTTGGCCAAATAAAATTACATAGCTGATACCATGCCTAAACATTGTCTGGCTGATGTGGGTATATTGGGTCGAAACCTAACTAATAGTATCAGTCAAACTTAGTCATGCAGGAGCCTTACAATCTTACAATGCAGTCCAAATTGTAGGTTTTTAATTCAATCCATATTAAAATAATTGGACAGGTGAGCTAATAATATCCTGAACACACTATAAAAATAGCTCCTTTTTAACAGGAATCACTCATCCTTGGCTGTAGGAAGACTGAAGACATGCCGAAACCCTTAGATTGCACAAGCTACTGCAAGCATCCATCCATTTGTACCTGGAATATACCTACCATCTGTTCGACAAGGCCTTTTTATTGGTCCACTAAAGCTGCAGAGAAGAAGACAAATCATGGTAACCAGTTAGTAACCATGTTTCTAATAGAGATACACAAGAGTACAGACACATGGAGTTTAAAGCACGTACTCTGTAAATAACAGTGTATCTATCATGCGAAAGTTGAATGGACTACCATTATTGATCTCTTCTCTTCTTTTAATGCTAGATAACTGGCTGTTACACTGAACCTATTTCTTCAGTACTTTATGTCTCTGATTGGGGGCATGTGCCCCCTGGGCCAGTACTAATATGGTTTGTTAAGCAGGAGGCCCTGAGTTGAGATACTTCACCATCTAGACATCGATTAGAGTGGGACTTGCACTCAGTGACAGATGCACATTATATAGCTGCCTATTCCCCATTCAGACCTGCAATCACAGTAACTGGCAGAGGGGAGTTTTCTAGCACTGGCCTTCTTCTATTGGCTTCCTTTGCGTCTCTTGGTATTCAACCACAGAATTTGCCAGGGCCGCAAAGGAAGCCAATGCTGGGAGATATATAAAGGTGTTTTAAAATAAACTTAAACTACGTCCTTTAGGAACATCTAACTTTCACCATACCCACCAATCAATGAGGTACCATGGCAGACTTTGCATGGTACACTTGCTTTAGCCTACAGAAATCTGTACCTACCATGAAAAAGCTAGTTGGCTCTGCTTGGCCTCTAGTCCAAAGGTTCCAAGTCCAAGGCTTCCCAGTTAATGATTCCCCTGTCCAATTATTTTAATATTATTGAATTAAAAATCTAAGATTTGGACTACATTGTGAGATTGTAAGTCTCCGGCATGAACAAGTTTGGATTGGCAGAGGGGAGTCATCCGGCACAGGCCTTCTTGCGGCCCTGGAGAATCAGATGTGAATGAGTACCAAAAGCTGCAAAAGAAGCCAATGCCAGAAGATGTATAAAGGTGTTTTACAATAAACTATGTCCTTTAGGAACACCCACCTTTCACCATGCCCACCAATCAATGAGGTACCATGGCAGACTTAACATGGTACGTTTGCTTCAGCCCCAGGAATCTATACCTACCATGAAAGAGCTAGTTGGCTCTGCTTGGCCTCTAGGCCAAGGTCTCCCTATCCAAGGCCATGGCTTCTCAGTCAATGACTCCCCTGTACAATTATTTTAATAATATTGAATTAAAAATCTATGATTTGGACTACATTGTGAGATTGTAAGTCTACGGCATGAACAAGTTTGTTTTCTTAGAGGGGTGTCCTCCAGCACTGGCCTTCTTTGTGGCCCTGGAAAATCATGTAAATGAGTACTAAGAGCTGCAAAGAAAGCCAATACTGGAAGATGTATCAAGGTGTTTTACAACAAATTATGTCCTTTAGGAACACCCACCTTTCACTATGCCCACCAATCAATGAGGTACCATGGAAGACTTTACATGGTACACTTGCTTTAGCCCCCAGGAATCTGTACCATGAAAGAGCTAGTTGGCTCTGCTTTGCTCTAAAACAAAGGTTCCTAGTCCATTCCTGGTTCCTGCCCTGAAACAAGTACACAGATTAAGATTTCTGACTCTTCTGATCCACATACCTGTTCTAGATCACTAAAGAACGTTTTGAAGTCATTATGTCAGGATACCAGCCAGACAAATAAAGGAAAAATAAAGAATGGCAACGCCCATATTTGCGTCATGATTGTTTTACTTTAATTTGTATTAAAAAGCAATGGTTCATCTAGTATACAATATGTTCCCACCACATATCCTGAGTATAATCAGTTCTTGGACTTTTAACACTGTGGATGGAGGTGAAGTGGATTAAGACGAGGCCCATTCAAATCAGAGGAGGGGCCTAATTTCAGTTTTCCCTATACTGAGAAGTGTCCAACTGTGGAACAGTATTCATAACTGCCTCCTCCATCAGGGTGTGGTCGCTAAGCAAGCAGAAGTGTTGCTGCCATGTGCAATAGTGTTGCTATTCTCAGAGCGCTCACCGGCAAGCTGACCAAGGTTTATTGCATAAGTGTAACAAGTGTTATCAAGCAGGGGGATTGGGGGTTCCTTGTATTATTCTACAGGTAAAATTAATGTAAAATCTCAAAGCAATATGACTATTTGTCTTTCAGAAACTTTTTTTTCATGTATGTACTACTGACAATTATTAAGAAATGTTGAAATGTGTTTGCACTTGATGAAACGATAAATATAATGGACAACTCAGTGTGTGCTGCATGTTTTATAAATAATTATGCATTTCTACATTTTGTTAACTGTGCATTCAGTTTTAATCAGCTAAATCCACTCCAGATACATCAGAATAAAAGGTGCAAAGTTACAGTTGGTTTTCTTTAGGCTGAGGGAAAAAAAGTTTGTTCCCTGCCAGAATGCTGCAGAGAAGGGCCCTTTGTCTCAATAGGGAAGCAGTAGTCTCACTGCAGAGACTTTCTGCTTCTCAAGATTGTGTCTGCAGAAAGACCACTGCTTCTCTGCAGAGAGCCCCATCCCCTTCCCGCACTCCCCCCCTCCCGCTTTCCCCCTTTCCCCATGCTAATTCGGAGCTAAAATTCTGCAATTAGTGAAGCTCATGATTCCTGCTAATTGGAGAGCTCTAGTTTTGGCTCAGCAGAGGGTGTGTTGGACCCCTGCAGTGAGACCACTGCGTTCACACATCGGTTCAGCATGCTGGAAGAGGACAGGCTTTTCTATTCGCCTGCAGAGGTTAAACTGTAGTACTAAACTATAGCAAGGAGTGCATTCTTGTCTTTTGCAATGGCCTTAAAGTGAACAACTTTGCACCAAGTTTTCTATTGATACCAGGTGACCATATCTCAGCTTGATGGTCTCTTCTTAAGGTAGAATACATTCAGTTCAGTTAATCTTTCATCGTAAAAATATGAAGTGTAGTCACAGCGCTAAAGGTTTTTGATAAATGTAAAAATCTTTCATCGTAGCTGAGGTTCTCCATCTTTCTTATTCATTTCATTTCCCTTCTATGCACTCTTTCCAGGTACGCAACATTTTTTTTTGGTGAACTGAACTGCATATTTAAGATGAGGCCTTTGTACAGGGGCAAAATCTTGCCTCTTATCTCCGAGTACTTACAAGTACGAGTACTGATACATTTTTGTTTATTGTCATGTGACAGACCAATATGTAGAAGATATGTAGAGTTAGGACCACACTTTGCAGAGGTGCCTTGGCGCGGCAGTGTGGCTTCTACAGATTTTTGGCCAAAAGTTTGTGCAACTAAAACCTCTGATTTTAACGCATACTGTTGACGGGGCAATTTGTTTTGTTGCAGGCTAGCTGGCAGGTGAGCTGGGGGATTTTTTGTGTTTTGTATTGTTGTAAGCCTTCCCAATGTGCGCCCTGCCATAAAGGCTGGTTATAGATTCATGCAGGTACCATTTTTTTCTAAATACAGCAATCTGACACCCAGTTGAAGCTGAAAACATGCTGAATATAGCATGTAAGTCGATTTAAATCCATTTTGACTGGCACAGCTTGGCTTTCACTGATTTTGTCACCAATTTCTTGTCACCAATGCCCAAAATTGGGAAATAAATGGAACAGTAGCAGATGGTTATGGTTAAAATTTGATCAACAAAACAAATCAACAAATATTGCCAGCATTAGCTTTAGAGTGGACATTGACTGGCAGATAATACCTTGAGAATGTGAATCCGTGAGTCACTTCAGTACCCACAGCGATCTCACTCAGTGGTAACAGCAATGCATCTATTACTTTGATCTTTTCCTCTACTCCATTAGAGTGAAGGACCAGAAAATGTGTTCGATTTACAACAATTAGTAAAATTCTTCATTGTGATACCAAGTGCTTCCAATCGCAAAAAGCATGTCTTCTCACCTGCAGGGAGGTCAAAAATAGGTGAGCAAAAGTGACAGCTTTCATTTACCCCAAATTCTTGACAAAGATAATGAGATTTTAGTACAATTTCACCATTTTGGTGAAAGGTGTTGAAATAAGGAAGTTCTTTGAAGTTTTGACGGGTGCAATGTCCCTTTGAACTATACTTACTAGGGATATTACTCCTAACTGGTGTATGCCTAACATTTATTTTATCTATGGGTATAGGGGGTGCAGTGAGTGATATAATGGGGGAAATTTACCAAAACTGGAGCATTTGCTCATAGTAACCAATCAGCTTCTCTTTTTAGTTTGTTCAGTTAAACTTTGAATATAAAAGCTAGATGCTGATTGATTGCCATGGACAGCTGCTCCAGATTCTATCTGCCCCAGTTTTGAGAAATTCCCCTCAATGTGAGATTGCTGAGGTGCACACTGTTTTTGCACCTTTTTTTTTCAAAACAATTCAGAAGTGTGCTGCGCACAAAAGGCAAATCCAAGAACAGATGTTGACTAACAAGTGAATGCTCCACACTCCAGATTTAAAAAATGCCCCACCAACATAAAATAAACATTTAAAGAAAACAGAAAAGAGACAAAGAGCCCAAAATACCACCCCGAAAACAAAGACCCACTTTTTAAAGGAATGTCTCAGAGCAAAAAAAAACAGTATTCAAACAAAAACAATATTCAAATATATATATATATATATGTATATATATATATATATATATACCCTCTAAATAAATGTGAAGAAAAGACCTTTCATTTTCCAAATCACTGACACCTATGGCTGCTCCATGCTCTCCCTTTTATAGTGAGGGGGCTGGTTTAACCACAAGCAACTCCTTATTAAACATTTTAAGCCTACTGGCCATATTTCAAAGGCTGTGCAGTGCATTATGGTTTAAAACACATTTTTACAAGGGCAAGTCTGCACACAAATGCACCAGGACTGCGAATGTTGGATTGTCCTCGAACCCATGGTAGCTGGAAAGCCGAACCCCATCCCTACCCTCAACTTCTCACAGCTAGAACATTGCCAGAAACGATAAAGGAGGTCTGTTCTGCTTTTGGAACAAACTGATTCGTGTTAAAACATTAGAAAAACCCGCCAAGTAGAATTTTGAGTGTTCCAGCTTCTTTAAAGTCAATGCTCAGAGATTCTGGCTGGAGTTCAAACAACGTTTTCTCCAGTAAAAGGTGTTTTTTCATGTCAAGAGATGTTTGAAATAAAGATGTAGGCATTTGACTTTTGGTGAAACGTTAGTGCAAAGAGACTAGAGGAAGAAGATGAAAGAAGAAGACGTTTGGGTGGTAGTTCGGCTTACAGGAGCTGGCATCTCCAAAAACGATGGGAGCTGACTGAATTCAGCGCGGCGCAGTATGCTGCCAGTTCCAAAGAGCTTCTCTAAGCATTAATCATTCTCACCGTGCAGTCCGCCCGTCAATGTCATTTCTGCATATGCTGCTTCTGAGTTGAAAGGAAACTCACATTTTTGCAACGAGTACACATTTTAAATCATAAAGTTTAACGCAAAGTAACTTACTTACCACGTTGTATATTCACGCTCGTATTTCCTATAAAGATGTTTAGATATTCTGTCTAGCAGTATTTGAATTGCTGTGAGAAAGGCAGCACGAGCCCCGGAACGCTTTTATATTGTTATGAAAAAAGTCTACAGATACAATTTTATCCAATGAAATAAGATGAGCTGAAAGTAAGCTCATGGTATTATGTCCCTGAAGCTGAACTCTAGCCTTATCTTCAGTTTTGCTCAGTTGTACAGGATATTCTCCTGGACTGAAATTGCTTAATCTGATTTCACTGCACACTGTGAGCTTCTTTTAATGTGCATTAGAAGCTGCAGCAAGTCAGATAAAGCCTGGGTCATTTCATGGCTGGAGGACGTTAAATTTCTCAATGGCACAAAAATCAGCAGTAATTTGTTTTGTAGAAAAGCTCCACCTTTAACCACTAAAAAGC